CTTTATTAAATTAACCAATCGGAATTTTTAATTATGTTGATCATCATCAACCAATAAAATCAAACTTTACTAATGCTCATTTAATGATCTTTGGTTTTAAGCCAAAGTTTTTAATCTCTAGTAGTTTGTCTTGAATTTTTCTTTAAAGTTAGACAATTCTTTACTATATTCTTTAAGTCAAATAACTGATACACCCCTGTGCAATAATATGATTGGTTAAAATAATCTTTTAAAAATTAAAAAAGATTTTACTAAATAAAGGTTTTTTTTAGCTTTAAGTAAAGTTGTAAAGGAGGTTCTTATAGTTCTAATGGTGGTTAAATCATTAAAATTGGTTTGGTGGATCCCAAGATACTTGGGGTCAAAGAAGAGAATATAAGGATCTGCAAATTTACTGTTACACAAAGTATTATAATTATAATACTTTGTGTAATAGTAAATTTGCAGAACCTTATATTCTCTTATTTGATCCCAAGTATCTTGGGATCCACCAAGCCAATTTTAATGATTTAACTACTATTAAAACCATAAGAACCTCCTCTACAACTTTACTTAAAGCTAAAAAAAACCTTTATTTAGTAGAATCTTTTTTAATTTTTAAAAGATTATTTTAACCAATCATATTATTGCACAGGAGTGTATTAGTTATTTGACTTAAAGAACATAGTAAAGAATTGTCTAACTTTAAAGAAAGATTCAAGACAAACTACTAGAGATTAAAAACTTTGGCTTAAAACCAAAGATCATTAAATGCTAAAGAATATATATTTAAAGTTTAAAGAAAGGTTTATATGTATATTTTACAAAAATTAAATTTAAATGATTTTTTTTCATAAATTTATATATAAAATTGGGGTGAGTCAACTCATTTGATTTATAAGTAACAGCAATTATATGGACATGTCCTGTGACTGTTATCTATAGATTTTCTTACAACCGCACAGATAACTACAAAGATAACCGCAAAGATAATCACACAGATGGCCACACAGACAACCATGCCTATACAAATGATTATACAGATAAGGTAATACTTTCTTTCATCTTTTGCTTAATTTGTTGGTTTTCTTTGTGCTAACACTTAAAACAATTTTCTTTTAATTTCTCATTATATTTAAATTATAAACACACAATTTAATATGAAACCTACTCGGTAAAAAATTGTAATAAATTATATAATCATTAATCAGGTTGACTTATGCTGAATATTGCCAGTAATTTGTTTAATTTATAGGAAAATATATTTTTCTAACTTACTAATCCTCTTGTTCTCTTTTTGTGAATACTATTATCGTTATTATACACAACTTTGCATTGTTGATCTTATTAATACGCACAATTATATAATCCAACCAATCACATGTAATTATCTGATCACGTTCTCTTAGTTTTATCAAACATAGTTATCGCCACAACATTTATTTTAGGAAATTTTTTGGAAAAGTTATTAAAAATTTATTTTTTAACCTGGTTTAGTACTCTCAGTATAGCCAAAGAAACTATATCTGCCAGGAAATTGATGACAATCTTTTTCTATCACAAGTTAGATTTGAAAAAGAAAGGAAATCTCGTGAATTTCCTGTGATAGGGTGATCTACGCCGTTCCACATCTTTTTGCAAACAGCTGTAACAAGTTTTATAGTAAAATTGTTCAAGGAAAAATTTTAATTAGAGATAATGGCTAATTTCTTCGAAACTGATGTTGTTTACATATTACACCTGATCGTGTGATCGGAAAATCTATCCTACACCCTGGTGCTGTTGGGATTCCACTGACAGTTTCTTTTGCCTACGATGACTTTTTCAGAATTAAGATATTTCTGTAGTTAACATATGCCTGCATTAAGTTGTGCTATTTTTGCAATTTTAGCTAAAATTTTTAGCTAAATATTTTGGACGTGTAAATAATTGTATCAATATTAAAATTCGTAATATTAAAATTGTAACTAAAATATTATTCGGAAATAACGAAAATGAAACGAATAATTGTTATTGGGCAATTAAAACTTTATCATAAATCAATCACTTTATTGCTGCTTAATTATAATACCTTAATCCTCTTTTCTGTATTTATTATTCCGATATTTGGAATTATGAATATTATTCGGATTTGCAATTACAATGCTTATTTTGTATACTATCACACTATAATATTGATATGAGTTACAACATTATTTGAGAATTTTACGAACCGTATCATATTTTATTTCATTTTATAAACCTAATATTTTGCATGCATAGTTTATTTTTTTAAAGTGGTCAATCAAATTTTATTTCCTCAAAACGTGTGATCATATCTTTAGCAAGAAATGTAAATTATTATGATGAAGAAATTCCCTGGCCACTTCAACGGTAATAATTCAATGTGCTTTAAGTAAAAAAGATTCCAGAAATAGTTAAGAAAGAGGATCAAGAAATATTCAAAGATGATTAAATTTGAATCTTCTTATTTATATAAAAAAGCTAAAATTGAAACATCATTAACATCACCATGTAAACTGCTGTATATAAATAGTTAGTATTCGAGCATGACCAACAAATTCTTGACGAATTTACATATTAAAATCATGAGAATTAAATAGAAGGAGTTTACTTAGACGTGCACTAAAGTTTTTTTTTTATATTGAAAATAATAGTCAGGATCCCCTTAGTGGCTATTAACTCCTGTCCAAGTGTTGTGATATTTGGTCATAGTTATTAGGTTGCTAATTTAGGTTTTATACTGAAATATGTTAAAATTCCGACTATGTACAAATAGTTAAACAATTGAATTATGAATTTATAAATATTTCTAAAGTATTGCTAACATTACATGTTTTTTTGAAAATGTATTATTCTAATCGGCAGATGAAGTTTTGGTAAAAGTATTATATTACAAATACTAATTGTCAGTAACCTCGTAATATATAAATGTTGAAGACTGAAGAATTTCTGATATTATCTTATCAGTAGTTTTAATTACTTTACTTTTTTTCCCAGACGGATCTACTAACATGAAATGTAATTTTAAAAGATCAACATTAAGATGTGCAGCAACTTGATTAGCTACCTATATAAATAGAAAAAGAAATCTAAATTAGAGAAAAATAACTGAAAAGGAAAATGAATTAAGTAACTTAACGCACAACTTTAAATGGCATATTTTTATTTAAAAATAGATCAAATTCGGGCAATGGATCTCGATATCCGGATTTCGACTTAAACTTAACGACAATATTTTCTAATAATGATTCATAAAATTGAGGAATGCTACTTATGCGGTCTGCTAATTCATATTCTTGAATCCTAATTAAAGTAAAATAATATTAAATAATCTTAAATTCTCTGCATTTCAGTAGACTTCAAAATTTTAATTACATACTCTTTGTTTTTTAACGCCTTTTGGAAACATAATATATCACCATTTTGTATATTGGACTTGAGAAAAGTATGTCTTGATGTTATTTTTTTAATCATATAAGGTGTAATTTCCTATAATTTTAGAAAGATAAAAAAAAATCATGTAACCAAAATCATGTCAGGAAAATTTGAAATTAAGATAATAAATTAATACAATTAACTCACTTCATATATTTTCAAAGGTGTGTCTAGTGGCAATTGTCTTTTTTTACGAAGAATGGAGAAAATGCTATTAACCCTACACTTTTTCTGAACATATAACTGACCAAGGCTCCTATCCATGTGTATAAAGGCTGTATTAATTCTAGCATGACATATATTATACGTTTAAATCAAATTAAATTAAATTTACACACTCTAACGACTGTGAATCAGGATTAAAATATTTAATAAAAATGATAATCGTTCCGTGTTTTTTCTACATAAGTTGCAAATTAAATTAGATTTATGCTATACAATATAGTAGTTTGTGGGAGATAATTACCTTGAAATTTATTGGCTTTTCCACTATCTCCATATACAACCTTAACTCATTACATCCTATTATCTTTCTACTGATTTCTTCCATTGCTAGTAGTAATAAAAATGTTATGAAATACATATAAAGATAAAAACGAGAATTATGTAGTGTAAATAACCTACATATGTCAAGATAATCGTCTTTTAGAGGCTCATGTAGCCTAATTGTTTTATTTTGTCGATTTACAATTACCCAGAACTTTAATTTATAAATAGGAATTTTAAATTTTGTAGCAATCATCTTTATAAAAGTACCGTAGGTGTCTTCTTTTAAAACTTTAAATTGAGGAATTTCTGATAATAAATGTTGTTGATTATCAAAATTAACAAGATCAAATCCTCTATGGTTCCTAACCACCCTTTCTGTCACAATCTAAATAATATTGAAATTAGAAATTACACTGATAATTAATTATCATTTAATGTATTATGTAAAGTTACCCATGTTTGTAAATATAGGTACTTGTCTTTTTCATCATATGGACGGCATTCTAATAACAGGATTGAAACATATTAATTTTTAATAACAGATAAAAATAACAGATAAAAATTTAATATAGTAAAGAACATTTATTGTGCACTTACGTAGATGTTTCGGCATATCTTCAGGAAGTATTGGAGAAAATATCTCATTGATGCTAGATTCACGAATATATATTAACATGTATGCATTCTTAGATTGTAATAGGCCTTCATAACCGTAATTAATTGATGCTGGTGTAACTCGTTCAGCAAACTTTATCCTTCATTTCAAAAACCAGATACATAACAGGTTAGTATATTAACTTGCAGTATACATAAATGCGCATATTATAAATGAAGTAGTGAACAAACCATCTGTTGCTCTTTTCGGGTCTTATAAATGCGGCATAACGATCCTCATCCAAATCACGGTCATCATCTCGAACAAGTACACTGGTTTGCAATACAACCATATGAGAAATATAATTCATACAAATTATAGTCAAACGTTTATAATTTATTTTTGCACAAACCCATATAACAAGTATTTATATGATTGTGATTTATCTGCATTAGGTGACAAATATTTTTGCAAATCAATTTCCATGGGAAATTCACAGCAATCATTTGACTATAACAGATTAGCATTGTATCAGAAAAGGTGTACAGTAATGGAATTGTTCTTAATATATCGATATGTATACCTCAAGCGTATCATGTTCAAATCTATTTAAATGCAAATGCAATACAGGTGGGAAACTCTCGAAAATTACACCTTTTTTGGCAACCTACAAATATGCGGTATCATAATATATATAGCATCATATCAAGATTTATCATCATAACAAAGGAGTAAATCTTACTTGTAAGCCATAATCTTCAGTATCATATTTATTATCACCTTCTAAAGTTTCTTCTTTTATATATTTCATAAAAGACTCATCTAAAGTTTTACATCCTTGAATATTAAGTTGAATATCTAACGTAATAAGTTAATATTATTATATTTAATAATTATTAGTCAATATAATATTCATATAATAATGTTTACGCTTACCATAGTAATCTTCAACATGTAAATATTCATAATTTACATTAACGCATTTAATATAAGTTTTTATTGATCCAGAAAAAAGTTCAGAAATTACACCATCTACTTTTGTGTTCTAAGTCCAGATAAAAAAAAAAAAAGTAAAGTTCCTTTAATATATTTTTCATAATAATTGAATTATAATACATATACATAAAATATACTTGCCTTCATCTTATCCTCAAGATCTTTTCGCAATATTTTAATAAATTCTCGAACATTGTTTATAAAAAAAATTTCATTCCATCCAAAAAATTTTATTAATTCGGTTGGTTTAACCGGTGTATTTGAAACATTTAATTGATAGAAAATCTTTTGCAAAGCCGATGAAATGCCTTTTGCCGAGTTATCATTTTCCATTGGGATTTGATATACTGCCTATAGTAAAAAAGTAAATATTTTCATTATCAGGCTTGGAATGAAAAATAAACAATCTGTGCCATATGTATACAAGCGATAACGTCGCTTTCGCTAATATTCAACAACTTAGGATATTACTGTAATAAATTAGGACAAACCTTACGAAAATATTTTATATAATAAAGAGACTGTAGCACCGAGTTTAAAAAAGTATTCATTCCTTGATTTTTTAAACCTATGTACTCGGTTGGATTCTCTAGAACACGAACGAGAACCGTAATATTACAAGTGTCATTTTCAATTAGCGAGTGAGTTCGTTTACCAGACGGTGTAAACAACTTATTCTGTTCATAAAATTTTGCAAAACCCCAATCGAGCACTTCGGCAGTAAAAAGATGATATGTATCTATATATATAAATATATACAGAATAAAATAAATAAATATAATAATTATCAAAATTAGATTGATTAATCTAAGATACGTACGATGACTAACGAATTTTGTTGGCTCTTCTTGATTCCATAACAACAAAGCGAACTGCGCACAAATATGCCAACCAACAGATGCTTCTTGTGGATTAGCCAACTCCAAATAAATGCCAATATGATCCACAGAAGTTTCATCATAATTGAAATTTCCAAAAGGAAAAAGTAAAAGATGCCTATATATAATTTAATAAGTTGAATTCCTCTTTATTCCTTATGGTACGCATAATTATAAGTCAATTCAAAGATAGTTCATATCATATACCATTTCCAACCGCCAGCCTCGAATTCAGGACCTTTTAATCTCTTTTCTAAATTTTTCCAATCAGTAACATGCCAAGTATGATGTTGGAAATCTTTGATCTTATGACCAAGATCAGGCATTATTCGGTTTGCAATAGTTTCATCTGTAAAGTATACATTAGTGTTACGAATATTATGAAAAACCAACTTATAATAAATGTCTAAAAATCGTTTAATTGAAAATCTTCAATAAAACATACAATCCATTATAATTAATTTCTTTATTAAAAATTTAGAAATAATATTTTTCTACTGTTATTTAAATTTTTGCTAATATATAAATTACCCGGAATCACCAATTCCGTTTGCTCATTTAAACTGTGTAATATGAATAATGGCCTATTATCAAAAATTTATGCATGTTACGTATTATTATTAATAGTGATTTGTTCTTGTATGTTTTTTCTCGTGACCAAATTAATTATTACAAATTAGGTCATCTTCGGTATACGTACATTACATTAGTTCCTTAACATTAAAGGTAATACTAACTTTATATCCTAAATGATCGTCACACGAATATTCTGTGATACGATATTTGAAACCGCTCACATGACGTTACAACTATTAATGTATGCACGCGCAGCAATTGAAGTTTGTTACGATATTTTATTAATTATTTTTCTTCATATACAGAACTTACAGAACTTTGTTCCATGAAGCAAGTGCAATAGTAACAATAGAATAATTAAGCAGGAAAAGATGATATCCAAAGTAACATGGCTGATCTTAGAAAGCGCTTTACAAGCCGTAATTACAGGTAGTAAAATCCTTTTCGTTATTGTTGAGTGTCGGCACTACTGGTGATGGATCATTTTTTTGTCAGTGTTACTGGTGATGGATCCTCTTTTATTGTTATTTGGTATCGGCGTAGCTGGGAGTGGCTTTTCTTTCGTCGTTACTTCGTCGTTTGGCGTCGATATATACACGTCATTCTAGTTATATCAACACCTGGATATATCGATATCCTGGATATATCGAAATCTGAATATATCGACACCAGGGACCCGTAAAAATTATTTGGATTATGTATAAATTTGGATTATAATCTTAGCAAAAATTGATATATATAAGGCCATGCCAAGTTAATTAATTGGTTCTCGTAACCTGGTCGGATCAAATTTTGAAAAGTTTTACAAAAAATTTTTTATATGTTTTAATAACCAGGTGAGTTTTTAAAAAAAAATTTTAAGAAAATTTTAT